GCAGGCGTTGGCGAACAGAAACCACCCCCCAGTCCACTCTTTTTGCCAATTTCTGCCTAAAAATAGGGCACGGACCTCGCCAAAAGCCACGGGGGTGGGGGGCGAGGGTAGTGAAGGGGCGGGAAGACCCGGCTCCGGCTCAGCCTCAGCAATCAGGACTCTAGAAGGAGACCCTGGGGTCAGAGGGGGCCGCCGCCGACAGGGCGAGGAGGCTCCGGGCCTGGGAGGAGGAACGCGGTCGGATGGCGGGATTGCACCGGGCGCAACTGCAAGGCAGGGAGGCCCGCACGGGGCTGGCAGGGCCGGGAGAGGCCATGGAGCCCAGCTCCTGCCTTCCTGGGAGGTCGGCTAAAGAGGCGAGGAAGGGGCCAGGGCGCGGCGAGGCTTGCAGGGCCCCTGCTTCTGTCTCCCCGGCCTCTGGGCCTCCTCCCTAAAGCCGGGCAGTGGGCAGAGGCCAGTCCCGCTCTCTAGAGACCAGCCTGGGCCTTCCCGGACCTGTGTCCTCCTCAGCCCAGCCGCCCAGGCTGCCGCGAAGCCGCATCCTCGGTCCCCAACCACTTCCATGGGAAAAGGAGAAATTCAGGCAAAGGGTGAGGCGCCCAGGCAGCTCCGGCAGGCACGTCCCCGCTGGGTTCCAGCAGCCCTGGGACAGCTTTCCCCAGACCAAGCTCAGCTTCCTGCTCTGACCTCACCCGAAAGCTCCTCACCACCGCCGTGAGGTTTGCTTGTCTGCAGTGTGGAGTGAGGCCTGAGGTCACCCAGGCTTTCTGGGGGGGGGGGGTACAGGGCTTAAACCTGGAGCACCCCAGTTCAGCCCTTGGCCGTCACATAGCGGCACCCTGGCAAAATAACAGATGGCTTCCGGGCAAAGGATGCAGGGAGCCAAGAAAGATCACAGTTTGGGAATTTGAGTCTCTGAAGCCCAGGGAGATTTTAATCGACCCACTGGGGTCTCCAGCCACAGCCCTGGGCCAGCTTGGTGTCTCCTGGCTGACAGCTGACCACAGCCTGCTCTAATGGAGAGAAACCCCAGAAGAAAAAGCCAATTTCCCCATAGCACTGGTGTCTGCACGCTGCCTGCCCCTGCTCAGGGACCAGCCCGCAGTAGCCCCGGGAACAATGGAAGACACCCCCCCACACACCCCTGCAGTGTGGAGCCGTCTTTCTGAGGCTCCCCCTCCCAGCTTTTCCTGCAGGGCCAGACGCAGGAAATGAGATCCCCCCATATACATTCAGCAATAATCACCGTGTTCCTTGTTGAAATATTAGGCAATGCAGATAGGGAGTAAAAACAAGCTTCCAGACCCCAATGCAGCACCATCACCTCCCCATAACTATCCCTCCAGCTTTTCTTTTTTAATGTGCAAATTTCTTTTTATTGTCAAAAAAAAGGTGCGTAACTCTCAGAGCCCTTCCCACTCTTGAGAGGACTCTTCAGTGTCTGCACGCCAGGCTTGTCACGCGGGCCAGTCCCAGGACCCCACACCCGGGACCCCACACCTGGGACCCCACACCCGGGACCCTGCCTGGCACGGTCGGGGCACCGTAGATGTTGGAGCAGGTGGTTTGTGTTCTGTAACCTGATTTTTTCTTTCGTATTGACAATATTGCATTCAATGGGTAACCTGGATCCCCTCATCACAGGGTCACCCACGAAACCCTCTGATTAGCGCCGACCCCCACGGCTATCCAGAGGCTTACACATGGTCAAAGCACCAATGACACATTCATGCCCAAGTGCTCTGCCCGGCTCACCTGGCATCCGGGACTCAGATACTTTGCTTTTCAGGCTCAAGTGCCTCTGCCTCCTCCAGCCTCTCTCACCACCCGACTCCTACCTATCCTGCAAAGCCCGGCCCAGTCTGAACCACCACCGGACTCCTACCTATCCTGCAAAGCCCGGCCCAGTCTGAACCACCACCCGACTCCTACCTATCCTGCAATGCCCGGCTCAGTCTGAACCACCACCCGACATCCCTCCCTGGGCTCCTGGCCCACACATCCACAACATCAGTTCCGCTGTCCAGGGCTGTGCTGCCCATGACCTTCTCCACCCTGGACCAGGAATCCACTGAGGCCTGAGTTAACACCAGGACAGGTCCCAACACAAAGTCTAAGACAACAAACTCCAGGTGGATCAGTGAATGAAACGCAGCTCTGACGGCTGCTCCCTGGTCCTGGATCTGCCTCGAGGGTGTCATCTCCATCTGGTCAGAGTCCCCATCTCCCATTTCAGTCACACTGACCGTGAGGCCAACTGGGAGCAGGGAACCCTGTCCAGGGCCTCCAGAGGTTCCTGGCAGACCCCAGCCCCACGGCCACTGCCTTGAGGGGCATCCCCTGGAGCCAGTGCTCTCCTCTGTACTCGGATAGCCCCTTGTCCCTGAGCCAGGTCCAGAGCCCATGGCCTCCTCCCTGGCCGTCCTGAGCACACAGCTGGTGCAGCCCATGGCCAAAGGCTCGGTCTGGGGGCTCGGTCCCCACCCCTGAATGCAGAGTCCTCGAACCTGCCCTTCGTATGGAGAGATTGTCCCGGAAACTGCCTCAAAACGAGAAATTGCAGAGGGTGGGGGTTACTAACAGGATTGTTTAACAGGAAACAGCTCTCCACATGTCCGGATGGGTGCTGCTTTTTTTAACCTGGTTGCAAACCTACCCTCTTCTTTTCTTTCCTCCTAAAGAAAGGTTATTTTATCTTAGAACATCTGCAACCTGTCTGGATCAGACCGTCTTCCTGCAGGATCTGACGTTGATCTTATTTGAGAAATCGACTATGCCCAGAGGCGGCCACGCCGGCTGTTGGCTGAGACAACACACCTGGCCGGTCTCAGATCCCTGGTGACCTTGTTACAGCCTCAGAGACCTGGGGACTGATGAGGGGTCCTTCCTCCTCCACCACACTCAGCACATGCAGGCAGGCATGAGTACACGCCACACACATGTGTGCCAAATACCGCAGACACGTGCACACACTCATGGAGAGACAGCCCACACGCAGACACGCCAGGCACCCAAGACACACAAGCGTAGGCACAGGCCACGTCCCCTTCCTCCACTTCCTTCTCCCAACACCATCTTCTGGGTGTGGACAAGACGCCCTTCTTCTCCATGCACGTTCTCACGTGCAGCCCCGGGCCGCCATCCCTCCTGCCCCTTGTCTGCACGAAGCCAGGAGCGGACCAACCTAGCCCCTAGCATCTCTGCCCAGCTGGAGACACCACGGCTGGCGGGAGACACGGCTCAGAGAGGGCATTCTGGTGCCTGAGGCCACACAGCAGGGGTGGAGCTGGAACGTAGAACCCAGCTCAGAACCCAGCGCTCACACCTTCCTCGGCCTGTCCAGGTCCCGGGGTGCCTCGATGGCTTTGCTGTCCCTGCCCAGAATGTTTCCAGAGACCCCGAGAAGAACTTTCTATGGAGGGGCCCAGTCCTCACAGCCCCTGTGCAGTGAGACCCAGGGGTCAGGGCCCCTGCCCAGGACTGCACGCTGGGGACACCGTCTGGGACTGGTTCTTCCTCACCCACGTGGGCCCTCCTGAGCCAGGACCCCTCTGTGCTCAGACCCAGGCACCAGCCATCCCAGGCACCAGCCATCCCAGAGTTCCCCAGGACTCGGACTCCTGGTCCCACTGTCCCCACTCCTGGGTCCTCTCTTCTTCCCAACTACCAAGCCTGCTGACCAGCAGTGGCCCTGGGCCCCCTGACCACCTCCCCGGCCTCCCGACCACCTGTGCCCGCTCACCTCCCCCCGTGCCCACTCACCTCCCCCCGTGCCCACTCACCTCCCCCCGTGCCCGCTCACCTCCTCCCATCCCCGTTTATCGCTCATCTTCCGTCCCCGTTTACCTACTCCCGTCTCCACTCACCTCCCATGCCCTACTCACCTCCTTCCATCCCCGCTTACCTCCTCCTGTCCCCAGGGACCACCTCTCCAGTCTGTGGACCACCTGTGCCCACTTGCCTCCTCCCTACTGCCCTTTTGCAGACTTGCCCGGCCTCCCCACCACGCTAACCCTCTGGACCTCACTTCGTTCCAGTGTCCTGTTGACTCCCCAGAACCAACCCCTATAATCCCGAGGTGCTGCCGGGAGGCCTTCTGACACTGCGCGGCTGCTGTCCACGAGGTCTGTGCACTCAGATGAGCAGCTCAAGCCCGAGTTGAGCAGGGCCTCGGAAGCCACCGGGCCTGTGAGTGCCAGCTGCTCATGACAAGCAGGCTCTGGCCTGGGAGAAGGCCCGGCCAGTGGTGCCACTGCTGCTGGGGGCTCTGTACCCGGCCTGGGCCAGCCCCTCAGACAGCAGCTGTGTGGCCGTGGCCATGCTCTGAGGCCCTTCTGAGACCAGCACTCTCTACCCCAGGGCAGCCCCTCTCACAGCGCTGGTGCCTCTGTGGCCGCATGCCTGCCTGTTGCCCACCCGTCCCCTCGGCCCGCGTGCTCCAAGGTCAAAGGAGGCTTCCGGGAGAGCACAGTGTTGGGTCCGGCCCACGCTTGAGGGAGGGGCTCGCACAAGGGTAAGCGTCAGAAGGTGGGCACCAGAGGGGTGGCTGCTGACCACGGGGCCAGGGCAGGAGCAGAGAGGCCCGGAGGAGACTCTGGTCCTGTGGGAGGTGATGGCAGGCAAGAGCCGTGTCCCCGGGGCTGGTGTCCTCAGCCCCATTCCAACTGATGGACGTCCTGGTTTTAGTCTTGCTTGAGTCATGGGAGGCTTTTGATGCTATTCTTGGTAAAAAGCCGGCCTGGAATGTGCTGCTCGGACGCTTCCCTCTGCTCTCCAGTCCCTTTCATCAATAGCCTAGTTCTTCCCCCGCCTCCCCAGGAGGCACCACCCTTTCTGGGGAGTTACTCAGAAGGGCAGGTGCTGCCAGGGACTGTGCCACATCGTAATTGTCCCCCAGCACCACAGCCTTGGCGGTGCCGCTGCAGACGTGAAGACTGAGGGTAAGACAATGGGGAGGCTGGACAATGACCGGGCCGGGTCCGGTCCGCCCTCCACTGCCCTGCCCCTCTCGCCTATGCAGGAGGCCCCTGAGACGGACTGTGACGTCCAGCCCCCAGGAAGGGGGTCTGGAGAAGGCTGTGGAATGTCAGCCCCTTTTCTTCCTGGGCCACCTGCAGAGAAAGCCCCCAGGCCCTCCACCACCACAGCCCTCCCCCTGCCCACTCTGAGGCTGTGGGAAAGGGAGGAGCTCCCGGGGCCTCTTCTGGCACCAGGCTCTGCCAGTGTCTGGTCTTCTCCACGGATTCCCCAGCCGCAGCCCATGAGGCACCTGCCCAGGTACAGGTAAGGGAAGAGGCCAGACCGTGTTAGGAATGAAAACTCGGGGAAGGTCAACGGAAGAGATGCTTGATTATTTTTAGACAGAGTCTCGCTGTGTCACCCAGGCTGGAGTGTAATGGTGCAATCTCGGCTCACTACAACCTCCACCTCCCAGGTTCAAGCGATTCTCCTGCCTCAGCCTCCTGAGTAGCTGGGACTACAGGTGCCTACCACCACACCCGGCTAATTTTTGTATTTTTGTATTATTTTTATTTTTATTTTTTGGAGACAGTCTCCCTCTGTCGTCCAGCCTAGAGTGCAATGGTGCAATCTCAGCTCACTGCAACCTCCGCCTCCAGGTTCAAGCGATTCTCCTGTCTCAGCCTCCCGATTAGCTGGGGTTACAGGCGTGTGCCACCATGCCCAGCTAACTTTTGTATTTTTAGTAGAGACGGGTTTCACCGTATTGGCCAGGCTGGTTTCGATCTCTTGACCTTGTGATCCAACCGCCTTGGCTTCCCAAAGTGCTGGGATTACAGGCATGAGCCACTGCACCCAGCCAATTTTTAAAATTTTTGTAGAGACAGGGTTTCACTATGTTGCCCAGGCTGGTCTTGAATTCCTGGGCTCAAGTGATCCACCCACCACGGCCTCCCAAAGTCTGGGATTACAGGCGTGAGCCACCGTGCTCAGCTGGCTGAGATGAAGCTGGAAATTCGCAGAGACTCACTAAGGGGCAGGGGAGTAGTTTGGCACACTGTGGTCCCAGCCTAGGGCCGTGCCTGGGAGGCAGCAGGTGCCCTTAACTCGTAAACTTGCGGACAGCAAGTCACCCAGGTGCCGAGGCAAGAGACCAAGGGCACGAGCTGTTGGAGTATAATAAAATATATAAAATAAGAATAGTCATACTAGATATAGATAATAGATATGATTATATATGAATATCATTAATCATTAGTTTGTAGCAATTACTCTTTACTCCAATATTATAATAGTCCTCACTCTTGGGAGGCCGAGATGGGCGGATCACAAGGTCAGGAGATCGAGACCATCCTGGCCAACATGGTGAAACCCCGTCTCTACTAAAAATACAAAACAAATTAGCTGGGTATAGTGGCGGGCACCTGTAGTCCCAGCTACTCGGGAGGCTGAGGCAGGAGAATGGCGTGAGCCCGGGAGGCGGAGCTTGCAGTGAGCCGAGACCCGGCCACTGCACTCCAGCCCGGGCGACTGAGCGAGACTCCGTCTCAAAATAAATAAATAAATAAATAAATAATCCTCACTCTACAATCATAACCTAGGAGAAACCGGGCCATACAGAGTTAGGAGCTGAAGGGACATAGTGAGAAGTGACCAGAAGACAGGAGCGTGAGCCTCTGTGATGCCCGGGCAGGGCCACCGGGGGGCTCCTTGGTCTAGTGGTAACGCCAGTGTCTGGGAAGATGCCCGTTGCCAAGTGGACCGTGGTCTAGCGGTAGCGTCAGTGTCAAGAAAAAGCGCCCGCTGCTTAGCAGGCCGGGAAAGGGGGTCTCCCTCTCCCCAGAGGAGGTTAGAGAAGACTTTACTCCTGCACCTCTTGTGGAGGGCGTGACATCAGTCACCCGGAGCCTAGCCGGACATCAGCCACCCGGAGCCTGACCTGACATTAGCCACCCGGAGCCTGACCTGACATCAGCCACCCGGAGCCTAGCCTGACATCGGCCACCCGGATCCTGACCTGACATCGGCCACCCGGAGCCTGGCCTGACATCGGTCACGCGGAGCCTGGCCTGACATCGGCCACCCGGAGCCTGGCCTGACATCGGTCACCCGGAGCCTGGCCTGACATCGGTCACCCGGAGCCTAACCATCTCCCTGTGGTGCTGTGCTTCAGTGGTCAGGCTCCTGGTCCACTTTCGTGTTCCACCCTGTACACCGGGCTCTGCCTTCTAGATAGCAGTAGCAAATTAGTGAAAGTACTAAAAGTCTCTGATACGCAGAAACAACAGCATAAGCTGTCTCTCTCTCTCTCTGTTCTCTTTCTCTCTGCCTCAGCTGCCAGGCAGGGAAGGGCCCCCTGTCCAGTGGACACGTGCCCCACGTGACTTTACCTATCATTGGAGATGGCTGTCACTCTCTGCCTCTTTGTCTTGTATCCAATAAATATCAGCACAGCCTGGCATTCGGGGCCACTACCGGTCTCCACGTCTTC